AGGATACTGATGTCATTGTGTGGGATGTCATCAATGAGAGTGGTTTGTACCGGCTGAGAGGGCACAAGGATGCTGTCACTCAAGTCCTTTTCTTGAAGGAAAAGAACCTGTTGGTCACCAGGTGAGCCAGGCTAGGTGTGGTGGTCAATCATGAAAGCAGCCACAGTTTTACTTGCAATGTAGACATCCTAGGGGCTATGGTGATTTGTATTTTTCCTTTTCAATTCGTGGTATCTCATACTCACGAGCATCTTAGAATATGATTATGTGACATCCACCTATTTCTTAAGTGCCTCACTCCGGATGTGGTAAACAGAACTGAAATGGCTGTCCTGAAAAATAGTGTTTGGAAAATGGTTGACCTTGCTGGTACATATAGCAATTTAGAATTATTGTAACAAGGAATAGTGATAATATGTTCAATATGTGTCTGACTTTTGCTGTTTTTCTTGAAGAACCTAGTAGATTTACCTTCTGTATGTGTAATTCACATAGTAAGCTGTAATTATAGGAATTAATTAAAAGATGATAGAATTTTTTAAAAGTTTTTTAATTATTCAACATGAGCTGCTAATTGATTGTAACCCTTTAGTAATAAGCAGCTGAGGGAAGATACTCTTGCCCAAACATCAGTCAATAGTTTTTTATTTATTAATGTGCCATCTAATAGCTTAATAGAAAAGTGCATGCAAACCAGTTAACTGTAAAATTAGAACAAGTTTCTTGTGCTTCTTTTTTTCTTTCAAATTGAAAAAGTATTTTATTTGTTTGATAGAGGACGCCTATTTCTTAATGCAGTTTCAAGTCTTTGCAGGTCAGCTTTAGAAATGCTTCTTAATTCTCTCAGTAGCTAAATTGAGGCAAAGAATTCCTCTCTATTATTTTTTTTTATTAATAAGTAGAGATGTTACTCTGTTTTTCTGGTGATGCAAAGTTCTGCTTCCTTATATTAGATGTTTCTTTTTGCCTAAGCAGCCAGCTGCAGTCCTTTGTGTACAGAACCTTTGTGGTATTTTCAAATGTCCAATTTACAACCTTTCAATCCTATGTAACAAAGAGGTGGATTAAAAATAAATATCACTTGTAATCAGATTGGGGTTTTTTTTGTCCTGACATGGCTTAGTAGTGAAACAAGTTTTGTATTTTGATTTTGTTGAAACTTACTCAGGAAAATAGGCTCTAACAAAGTTACCAAAAATAAAGGAAGTATTAATTGTTATAGGGTGTACCAAAAGAATCTGTAGAAATGTTCAAGTTTTTACTTTTCTTGGGTGCTCTTGTAATATTCGGGCAGCATAATATAGCCAGAAATGTGTTTTCAAGGAGTTCTGGTTGTTTGGAGGCTTTTTGAAACGGCTGTAATTCTCTGTTAGGAAGAACAGCTCCAAAACACTGCTTAAAGTGAAGGCATCTGCTTTTCTTGTAGTGTGGTCAGAGCACAGGCACAGCACAGGTGGAGAGTGTGGAGGGGGAGATTAGAGTTAGCTTCATAATTGCTCAGCACTTCATGCTTATTGTTCTCACCCTGAGCAAAGAAGACACTTCTCATGCTAAATAAGTGGGAATGGAGGCTGTGTGACACTGGGGCTGGCAGCTGGATCCAGAGAAGGAAGCAGTTTTCAATTACTTGCTAGATAATTTTTTGCAGTACTGTGATGTGTTGTGGCATGTTTTAGATTTTTTATTTGTACTTCTACCACTTTTCTAAGCACATGAACTCTGGCAGTCTCTCTTTGGGTCCTGAGTTTTACTTCTTCTTCCAGTGGCAAAGACACATTGGTGAAATGGTGGGACTTGGACACCCAGCACTGCTTCAAAACTCTAGTTGGACACCGTACTGAGGTAAGATGATGTGTGGGGAGCTGTTGGGTGGAGGGACTTCAGATTACGTGTCATGGCTCAGTCTGCTCTCCCTGTTCTTCAGAGCTGTAAACTGGCACTTTGATGCATTCTGCTTGTCTCTAGGTTTTAGGGATGAGCAAATGAGAAACTTCCAAACTTTCCAAGAGTATCAGTGTTCAGTAGGTGGCAGTTCCAATGCAGATGTCCCCAGAGGAGGTCCTGGCTAGATCCAGGCTTTTCTTGCTTGCCTTTTGCATAAATTAATTAAAGATGCTTTGCTATTGTTATGATAGTCCAAGGAGCCGTAAGCCAATTCCTCACATTGTGCCTCTGGACAGGTTTGGGGGATGGCTTTGCTATCTGAGGAAAGGCGTCTGATCACTGGGAGTGGTGACAGCGAGCTGAGAGTGTGGGATATCACTTACATCCAGGAGGTAAGATATTCCCTCTGTAAACCCTCACAGGCTTGACAGGCTGCTTGTTAAATCTGATGGATGTTCTGGGAAATGGGTCCAAAGCAACGTCTTTGCTGTCTGAGGATGCCAGAAGCTGCTCTTGGGATGGACTTTACTGTTTTCTGCGTTTTGAGCTTTCTAGTGAAGCTGTGAGCACTTCCAGAACAACATTTCCAGAGTGTGTCAGATCTTTCTGCCTTCTGGCTTCCATGTAGAGAAGACAGTCTTGTGGGTGGATGATAAGCAGGGGAAGACATGGAGTGTGTGAGGCCTATAGGCATGCTGTAAGCCGCGTTTTTGCAGTGTTTTGCTAACCACTTGCTCCTCCAGGAAAGTGAAGTGCGAGACAGAAACCAGCATACCTTAGCTCTTGTGGCTTAAAGTATTCTTTACAGGTTTGTTTGTCTATGAACAGGTAATAGACCCTGATGAGCCAGAAACCAAGAAAAGCAAAGGGTCTTCACCTGGAGCAGAAGAAAACACTGAAGACATGGAGACTCTAGAGCTGGATGAACATCCTGAGGAAGTAAGCTCAGTTTTCCGTGTTGTCTGTGTGATGGTGTATGTAACCCCATTTGCCTGGTGCTGCTGGCAGAGCCAGCTGTAATTTTAGTGTCTCACACACTGCTGCTTTGTATTTGGTTTATACCTTGAGTGTCATATTTAGCCTGCTAGGGAAAATGTGATAATTCTTGTCTTGGCTCATAACTTCTTTCTCAGCAGCAGCTGCTGCCTCATCTACCTGTGAAACATCAGCAGAAGTATGTATTCCAAAACATGTTATGCTCCACTGGAAGCTTTTTCTTTGCCTTCTGTTTGGGAAGGACTAACAAATGTTTAAAATTTGCCAGTGCACAAAGCCCTTTCATCAAACAACATGGCAATAAAATAGTTACTGCCTGGTTGGTAACTACTGAGTTCAGTGCTGATGCTCATCTTTGCAGTAGCAGAAGCAGAGCGGTCAGAGTTGCACTGTGACAGAATGTGGTTGAGGTTCAATTGCAGGAGGCCGTTCCCACTTGTTCTGCTGGTGGAGTCTTCACTGAATCTGTCTTTCTAGTGGAACTCTCTGGGGTCCTCCTCAGTTTTCAGACTGCTTGTAACTATGGGAGATAACTGATAACTTGTTAAATAATTTTCCAATTTTCTCTCCAGAGGATTTCTTTCCCTTCAGCCACCATTTAAGAGTTCTCACCTTTTCTACCTCTTCGGACAGAGAAACTGAGCTGTATTACCTTTGTAACATAAACATTCAGCTCTGTCTCTTAAATGTCTGTAGTTTGCAATAAAGTTAAGTTATTCTTCCACTGAGACAGTCAGTTATTATTTTCAGCTAAGATGCAACAATATATAAGGAGGTAAACCTGTAGCTCGCACAAATGCCTGTTTTGTCCCTAGATTGCTCTTGCTAGCTCTTCTGCCGAGGCCCTATACGTTTATTACCCTTTCTTCTCTGGACTTGCCTTGCCAGTAGGCTTCTGAGTTTACTTGAGAAGATTTCTGGACCTTTCAGACCAAAATTCTTCTCCTTCTTTCCCTGTAGCGCCTCATTAAGTGCAGCAAAGTTGGATCCATCATGCGGGAGGGGAGAGACCGAGTAGTTACTCTTGCCACAGACAGAACAGGCAAGATTTTGGCCTGCCATGTAAGTAATGGAGCCTCTGCTATTGAGCTGTAGAGGAGGCTGTTTGAGACCTTGGGTTATTTCTGGAAGGGCCAGCCAGGACTTTGCATGCCCTTGACTTTATTTGCTCTGTCTCTAGGGGACAGATGCTGTTCTGGAGGTGTTCTCTGTCCTTTCTGAAGAAGAAATCCAAAAGAAACTGGAAAAGAAAATGAAGAAAGCAAAGAAAAAAAGCAAGTAAGCAGTCTTGGATGTGTTGAGATGCTGTCTTTGTCTAGAGATGTGTTAGAAAACCCCTTCAGCAGCATGACACTGGTTGAATTCCAAGCTACTGGTCATTTTGTCTATGTTAACTGCTTTATTTTGTGGACACTGCTTTTGTGCATTCTTGGTGCTTGTCTATACAACACTTCTCTGCTTCCATAGACTAAGGTAATACCTTTCTTTCTGAGTCTTCCCCCTGCAAAAAAAGGTAATCTGTGCAAAGGAATAAACATAAAACAGGTTTTTCAGAGCTGCTCACCTGTATCTGACTTTCATATTTATGCTCTTTCTGCGTCAAATAAAATCCTTGATAGGATGTGAGGAATGGGTTTTTCACCTGAGAAGTCAGAGTGACTCTGATACCTCATCTACTGTTTTACATCAGGCAGAGATACAAGTGAGAACTTTAATAAAGTTTACTTTGTGTTAAGTGTCTCTCTGGGTATCCTGGGACTTAACACAAGCCTCTCAGCAGTCCTTAGGGAGAGATCTACTTTCCAGAGTAGAAACTCATGCACGGAGGAGGTTGCCTTTTTTAGTCTGTCTCTTCACTAGTGTGCATACCAGCATGAACTCCATTGTCTTGCCCTGTTCTTAAATACAGTTAGCACTGTTGGATAGGAAGAGGGTTATTTTCAGCAGGCTGAGTGTTTTCCTTATGTTAATGTCTGGGTGTTAGGTTTTTTTTTGGGTCAGCTGGGTTATTTGACTCTTCTCCATTATCTGACATTTCTAGACAAAACTCTGAAGAGGAGCCTGAAAGGAGTGTGGAGCTGAGCCTGCAGGAGCAGATTCAGCGGGTCACTAATATCAAAGCTTCTTCTAAAATCAAGTGAGTGGAAAAGCCTGTTGTAGACAGTCAGCTGTGGTTATGCAGCAACCTTGGGGAGAGCTCTCCACAGCTCAATACAGAGAGAGATGGAAGGAGTTTCCCCTTTGACGTCTGTTCAGCTTCGAGCTGGGGAGAAGCCTATCATGATCTCCAGTCCATTCACACCTCTTCCACAAGTGGTCCTCTGTGCACACCTCTGTGGCTTAGTTGTGCTTGCCTGGGGCATGCCTCTGTCTGTATTCCTCTTTCTCAGTGGCTTTTGATCCCCTCTACAATTTGTCTTACTGCCCCTGTGTACAGCTGTGATTTTGTCTTATCAAACAGGTCATTTGACTTGATTGTCTCTCCAAAAGGAGAGCTGAAGATCCTACTGCTGCTCCAGAACAACGTAATTGAGACATACAACCTGAACCTGTCAGCACAAGTCCCACAGGCTGTCCGTGCATCCAAGATAACCATTGGAGGCCACCGCAGTGATGTCAGGACGTTGGCTTTTAGCTCTGACAATATTGCCATTCTCTCAGCAGCTGCAGAGTCTGTAAAGATTTGGAACAGGTACACAGTCCATTTGTGTCAGTCTCCTCTGTCCTAGGTGTGTCAGTCTTCCAGAACTCAGGCAGGTCAGAGAGGCAGTGATAAGAAGGAGAGGATATTGGAGAAATTTAAAATAGTGAATGAAGTAAAGGAAGTGAATAGAAAGCTGTCTGACTTACTTCCTTCTTAGGGAAACTAAGCAGCTATAGAGATAAAACTGCATAATAAACTCATGGAGTTTGAGGCTGTAAAGCAGCACTGAGGTGAAGTTTAGTGACAGGTATGGAAAGACAAATCTGTAAACACAAAATGCGTACATAGTAGTCTAGTATAGACTGTATTTTGTAGTTTGTTTTTCTGCTTTAATAAGAGGTACTGTTACCTTAAACTAGCTACAGTGTGTTCTTTAGGGAACGTGCTTTTCTTGTCATCTTATCTGAAGGATCCAGTAGTAGACTGAGTAGGCTGCTGTTTTGATCTGGAGTGTTGTCCCAGTGTTTCCTGAGCAGTGTTGATTTCAAGCTCTGTTTCCTTTAAGTTTGCTATCTTATACTCCTGTCCTGAACGACAGGAATTGCTGTTGGAGAACAGGAGCTTTGTCCTTGCTCGAAACAACAATAAATCAGGACAGTGAACCACATAACTGGATGTTTTTATGAAAAATGTTCTTAGCAATAATGCTGGATAGGATTTGGGTCAGAGGATGGTGTTGGTGTATCTTCTGGCCCCAGCTGAAAAGACTGCTGTGGCCAGAGGCTGTTGTGGCACACGTCTCACTCAGTGGGCCAGATTTTGTGTGTGATGAGAGGTTTAGGGCTCTGCCTTTCCCCACAGATCGACCTTGCAGTGCATCCGGACGATGGACTGCGAGTACGCGCTGTGCTCCCTCTTTGTCCCGGGAGATCGGCAGGTCATTGTGGGCACCAAGGTAAGTGCTGTCCCTTCTGCACTCCAGACTGCCCAGCTCTGGAGATGTTTGAAAAATATCACTAAGGCAGCCTTACAGAAAATGCAGTGTGTGTCCTCATCTGGAGCGCTTGGTTTAGGTGTAAAAACACCTGACAGTCAGGTTCTGCTCTATTCCCAAACTCTTTATGTAGCTCCTGTGGCTTCAGCTGGACAGCTGGGGAGAGCAGTGGGAAGTCCCTGATGGAGAATAGGAGTTTGGCCCATCTGTATGTAACAGCCGTCTAATGAAGCTGGCTGTTCAGGAGATGGGTGGCAGGGGTGCTCTTCTACTAGAGTTATGTATCATGAAGGTGGAGGGGCTGATTTGTCCTCTGTGGTGTGTCTCTCTCCACAGACAGGGAAGCTGCATCTGTATGACCTGGCTTCTGGGAGTATGATGGAGACAGTTAATGCTCATGAGGGGGCAGTGTGGTCCATTGCTCTTTCACCAGACCAGGTAACTCAGTCACACTTTTAAGCATTGCCTGTTGCATGTCTTTTCTTGTAGCTTCTTCCTGTAGTGCTATGGTTGCACTGTTGATGGGGGCATGGGAACTCCTCATCTGGGAGGTGGAGGATGCAGCTGGTAGTGTCTTAAAAACTTTGACTGTGGATACACACACAGCTCGATGAACAAGCTCTCTAGTTGTGTGGCACGTGGCAATGAGTCTTTGGGCTGAGTGGAGCCATCCTCAACACCTCATCTGGCTTCTGCATGATTGGAAACACTCAGACTTCTGTGGTGGAGCCGTGTGTGTGGCAGTATACACCTTGTGGATGTGTTCCAGCTGTGGAGAGCTTCAGACTGTCATAACCAGCTGCAGTGGCAGATTGTCCTCCTTGTTATATTTGCTGCTTTTCTGCTTGGTTTAAGATCTTATTAACATAGTGATGTTTTTTCTCTGTGTTGAACCACTCTTGAGTGACCAGATCGCCCTCCCTGTCTATTTTGTGGTCCTTATGCTGAACATCTGTCCCTGCAGGATACATTTTCCAGGGTCTTAATTGTTCTTGTGCTACTTTTTAAGTTACCGTAGGGGGTTTTGTTTGTTTGTTTGTTTTGTGGGGTTCTTTTTTGCTGATGATCCCAGAATCTGGGTGCACTGTGATAGGATTTACGCCAGTGGCAAATGCAGTTGTGTTTTTTTAATCCATCCAAGGACTTAAGTAGCTCTTTTGGTGGTAGCTCTGCATTACATTCAGACAATAAGCTACTGTGTCCCTCAAAGCCCATTTCGGGACACAGCTTTGCAGAAGGCATATATGTGGGGCTTAGATCCTTGCTTCCTAACATATAACACTCTTTTTTCAGGTAGATGGAGTAGCTCTGACATCTTTAGGTATATTTAATCGGTTATTTTTCTACTAATTTCAGAAAGTCTGTAAGCAGTGTAGTATTAAGGTATTAGGTATTTTTTATTTAAAATTAAGCTTTGAAACCTCTTAGCTGGTCTTTAATCCATGAAGGATGTCCTCTATTGCACTGTATTATCCTAGTTTTGTAATGAAAATGTGACATAACACCAAGAGGTATGCCTTGCACGAGCAACACTGTTACTGTTATAAACTGCAGCTTTCATCCTAAGGAAAAGGATAATCCCCATTGAAATAATATTCCATGTGCTCTTTTCTCTGTATTCTGTTTACTTTGTTTAATGGAAAAGTAGTTACCTGTTACTTCTGTTGACTATGCTCACAGTTACTAGGCCTGTTTGCTTGCTCTGTCTGAGTTATGGTGTTATATTTGTCTCTTCCTGGATCTCCCCAAGTATTTCTGAAGTTGCAGAGAATGGATATTGACAATTCAGAGAGTACCTCATTCTGTTCTGTAAAAGTGTTGGATTTGAGGCATCTGAACCATTGATATACAAGTGTTTGACATAGGTAGCTGCTTTTTGGCAGCCTTTTCTGGAGCAGTTTTTCATCACTGTCTTGCTTGATTATGGCACGTGGCATTCCGCTGAGCACAACAGATGAGAAAGGTTTACTGAACCTGTGCTTACTGAGCATTGTTGTTTAATAGTTCTCATACTTCCTTATTGAAAAGATAATATTTTTTTTGGTGTTCCCATTTTACATGCACACTCTCACTCTATTTGACCTAACCATCCAGGCTGTAGAAATCTGTTTGTCTCTTTTACTCCTTGTATCAGTTTTTTTCTCCATTACTGCAGTTCAGGTTTCTGTTGATTTCTACTTTCTTCTGTTTGATGTGGATGCCTTTCTTATTTTTCGTACATGGTCTTGTTGCACTAGAAACCAGAGTAGTTTTTAGTGGAATTAAAGTCATAATAACCTTCTTGAGATTTGAAACATGTGGGACAAATTTTACCCCAGCTCTTAATGCACAAGGGTAACATTGAACTGTTCTTCCTTCAGAAGGCTGTGCTTGTGGGGTGGTGGTGAGGTATGTGTGATCCAGTAACAGTGAGAGGATCACCTTGCCCACAGAACACAAGCATGTAATTGCCTACACCTGACATGACTGCTTCTGGTCCCAAAGTTTCAGCCTATGTCTTGATTTACATTTCAGGCTTTGTCTTAGACTTACCTGCCAGAGCTTTTGAAATTGTTGTCGTTGCTCAGGCAATGGGTAATGCATGCTCCAACCAGAGCAAGTTCTCTTGGTGTTGTCCACTTAATCATTAATACCATAGGAACGTGGGACACTTCAAAAACCTCCTGATGTGCTGACAGTTCCTTGCTGTAGAATTTCTCTTGGGTTACTGCAAAACTGATTTCACAATACATATTTTGTTTTCCCCTGCAGCGTGGCTTTGTGACAGGAGGTGCTGATAAATGTGTCAAGTTCTGGGAGTTTGAGCTGGTGAAGGATGAGAGCAGTGTTCAGAAAAGGTGAGAAATGAAACCTTTCTAGACTATGTTCAGCTGCAGTATCCATTGTCATTGATGGCCTCTGGCCTTTGCTGTGCACTGTAAGAAGTGCCTATGATATGTGCATGGGACACGTGGAGAAGCATGTGAGCTCTTTGCTGCTTTGTGAAGGTCTGAGCTTAGCTGGGGAAGGAAACTTGCCACATCCTTGTTTGTGTGTCCGTTTAGCTGCTAATCACAGGATGTGCCCCCGGATCATTAAGCAGTAAATTTAGCAGTGAAGGTTATCAGCCTGGGGTGCCGTGCTTGTTTGCAGCCCTGTCTTGTTCCAGTCAGGATGAGAAATGATACGCTGCATACTAGAATTAACTTGCTTTCCCAGCACACATGTGGGAACTGTATGAATACCTCTTTCCAACTTTGTTTGGGATAACAACTGGGTTTTTTTCCCTCTTCTTGCTGCCAGGCTGTCCATGAAACACGTGCGTGTTCTGCAGCTGGATGAGGATGTGCTCTGTGTGCGGTACAGCCCCAACCAGAAACTGCTGGCTGTCTCCTTGCTGGACTGCACCGTGAAGATCTTCTATATTGACACGCTCAAGGTGCCATGAACAAATGGGCTGTGAGGCTGTGCAAGGAGTGATGTAACTGTAGCCTGAAAGATCATTAGTAGGAAGCAAAGAGAGACCACGTGTTCCATTTCAGCTGCCTGTTGGCTAGCAAACCTGACAGAACCGTGGCTGGCCCGCACTGGGGAGAGCATCCACTTTTCATCTGCAAAGTGTTGTGAACCTGCAGGTAGCAAGGTTCACTATAAATTATAGCGACCTTGCAGTACCTGAAGGGACCTACAGGAAAGCTGGGGAGGGACCTTTTACAATGTAGGAAGCAAGAGGAGAAGGGGGAATGGGTTTAAACTGGAAGAAGGTAGATTTAGATTAGACATTATGAGGAAATTCTTCACTGTGAGGGTGGTGAGACACTGGCAGAGGTTGCCTTGGGAAGCTGTGGGGTGCCCCCTACCTGGAGGTGTTCAAGGCCAGGTTGGGTAGGGCTCTGAGCAGCCTGGTCTAGTGGGAGGTGTCCCTGCCCATGCAGGGAACTAGGTGATCTTTCGGTCCCTTCCAACCCAAACCGTTCTATGGTTCTGTGGGAAACCCTGCAGGCACAGTGGCACTCCAGAGTTGTGAGGCACTGTAAGGGTCATGGGCATGAAATAGGTAATAGCAGAGGCAAAGCCTGGGGAGGAGGGTCTTCTTGGTGAGCAAGCAGTGTGTGGTGGTGTTGTGAGTTGACATCATGAATGTTGGGGACACAAGACAGACATGTGAAGAGAAACAGAAGTAAACTCCATAGGCAGTGGGTGGTTAGCACCACAGTTATCTCAGCTTTCTTGGGACCTTGCATCCTCTTCTCAGTTCTGCCATCATGGCCCTGCTGCTGACAGTGTTCAGGGCAAGAGTGAAAGTGACGCAGTGCTAGAAAGACAAAGCTCCTGAGGCAGAGCAGAACTAGCCTGCAGCTTGAGTTTTTTGCACATCTCTACCAAGAATGTCTAACTGAGACACTTTTCTTCTACTTCAGTTTTTCCTCTCTCTGTATGGACACAAGCTGCCAGTGCTGTGTATGGACATCTCTTATGTAAGTATCATTAGGGCTGTGTGTTAGATGGGACTGTGGTGATATGGGTGACTGCAAGAACCTTGGCTGACAGCAAGGGCTCTAGAATAATGCTTTCTTATTGTCCCCTTGCTCCTGACTTAGCAGTTTCTTGATCTAACACAGCAAAGCCCCTCCTTATCCTGTGCTCACTGGGAGGGGTCACAGAGTAGTGGTCATGACAGAACTGACCAAAGCATTTTGAGAGCAAGTGGAAATCAAAATTCTGTGGTGAATTCTCTTCATCTGGAGAGGTGCAGCCTGCTCTCTGCTAAAGTTACTAACTGTGTGTGAGAGGACCCTGAAATCTTTGTTAGTGGATGATGAGGTGGAGCAGTCTCTTGATGCCTGTTCATTTTTGGGTTGCATCTTTCTCTGGGGTGTCCTTGTAATGACACTCATCGGAAGCCAGAGATGTCAAGATGTAACTAAGGTCTTTAAAAGCCTGCAGGGATTCAGAAAAGAGCCAGGGAGGCTGTGCCTGTACCACCACCCTGGTCAGAGAAGGTGGAGTAATCAGGAGGGCTTGTTTGAGGAGCCAGGTATCTGCCTTCTCAGCACTGCTTATTCCCTGCTTCAGGAGCAATTCCTCATGGGGCTGCCAGTCAGCTACCCACACCCTCTCTCTTTGTTGTTCTGTAGGATGGGACTCTAATTGCAACTGGCTCTGCTGACAGGAATGTGAAAATCTGGGGCTTAGATTTTGGGGATTGCCACCGCTCTCTCTTTGCCCATGATGACAGGTCAGTCAAATCCTACAGCATCTCTGTGCTGTGGGCTGTTTTATCTCCAAGGGGTTGTGGTCCAGCAATAACCCTTCCCCCAGCATAGAGGGGGGGAAGGTCTGCAGTGTTCCCCAAGTGGGTAAACTTGAGCCTTTTTGCCTTCCAGTGTGATGTATCTGCAGTTTGTGGCGAAATCCCATCTCTTCTTCACAGCTGGGAAGGACAGCAAGATTAAGCAGTGGGATGCAGATAAATTTGAGCATATCCAGACACTGGAGGTAGGAAGTTTTTGGAGACTGTTGAAAGGAAGCATTTTCCCTGGATGGGCAGCACATCCCTCATGGGCTGGGAGCTGGGTGGTGTTCTTGACTTATCTGTTCTGTCTGCCATGCAGGGGCATCACCAGGAGGTGTGGTGCTTGGCACTCAGTCCCAATGGAGACTACGTGGTGTCGGCATCCCATGACAAGTCCTTGCGCCTCTGGGAAAGGACAAGGGAGCCACTTGTTTTGGAAGAGGAGAGAGAGATGGTGAGTCTCATCCTTCCTGCCAAAGACAACTTCCAGACCTCTTTTCTCTCCAGCAGGCAGATTCCTAATTTTTTCCTGTGGAGTAGTCTGGCTGCACACTTGGTAGACTTGCTCATTACTAACTGCAGGCTGGTGCTGAGGTGCCCAGGGTTGACTGGCAGCTTTTTGCATAATGGGACTGTTGCCCTCAGCTGTCTGGAGGCAGCATCACAGATGTTGCAGGTGCTTGCCTGTCTGTACTGCATTGCAGACATCTGGCTAACTTGCCTTCTGCTTTGCTTCTCTCTTATTTTCCTAACTTTCCTCATTAACTGTGTTTTACTACAGGTCTGTTGGCTACAGTCTTTGACCTTCTCTTATTCTGTGCTCCTTTCAATTGCTTTGGAGGCAGTTCAGTAGGTGACTGTTGTGTGGTGATGGAGACCACTGCTCCTGTTAAATGCAGTTTGTCTTGGTTTTCCCTTCTCCAACTGTGAGAGGTCCATTCTATCTCAGTAACAGGCCCCAGAGCTCAGGGATGCTGGAAGAAGCCCCTTCTACTCCATTTGAGCATGTATTTTGAGGACTCACAGGCTCAAAAGTCTTCAATAGGAAGGAAACTCTTGAGGTCTCTAGTCCAACCCCTTGGTCACTGCAGAATAACCCTGAAGCTGTATCAGACTTCTCAGAGATTTGTCTTGATACATGAGCAGCTCCAAGGAAAGATAATATCCAGGCTGTCTGAGCTTCTGCAATGGGCTGCATGAAGCTGCAGGCTGCCTTGCTTAGCCAGCCTGGAAGGGACTTGTACCCTTGCTTGCTGCCTGCTTACCTGTGTTTATGTCATGTGTTCTTACTCACTCTAGCAACGAGAAGCTGAATATGAAGAGAGTGTGGCGAAGGAAGAGCAGCCTGTGGTAAGCTTCAACATCTGTGTGTGTCAGTGTCACTCTGACTGTATAGGAATATAATACCTGTTTCTGTAAGAGGCATGGAAGAAGTGTCAGAGGGGGCTCCTAGTTTTCTTACTTTGCGGAGGTGCAGGGGACATTGTGCTGCTGAAGCTGTGGTTGCCCCAGGATGCAGTTGGCTGTGATACTTCCTACAGAGAACTTCAGGAGAGTGTGTGGAGTTGGCCAAACTGCTGCTCAGTAGTTGTGGACACCAAAACTTTGCTGTGCTGTTCCCCTTCCTATCTCCCCAGTTTGGGACCCCAGGAGCTCTGCAGTAAGGCTGGGCTGCCTTCTGACAGCTGCTTCCAGGTCCATGTAGTGCAGGGTGGGTGGGGAAGCTTGATGCCTCTTGATCAAATGCTTGGGTTGTGTTGCTGATCATTTTGACACTGTTGGCAGAACAAGAGCTGTGTTTATTTGCTTCCTGTATCCTGGTGTTTACATGGTGCCTCTCTTCCTGAGGAAGAGCTGTGCACTTGGGAAATCCTGTATTCCCCCAGATAAATCTCCAGGTTTTCTTAGCATAGATTGTGGTAGGACACAGGGCGTGTCTACATGTGTTGGCTGTGGAAGGAGAGAGCTGCAGACTCTGTATTTTGTAGGTGGCTGGAGAGACACAAGGAGAGACGGGGCTGGCGGGAAAGAAGACCATTGAAACCATCAAAGCGGTAAGATTGTGTGGCTCCCTCAGCACTGCTTTGGGCCTTATCAGTCTCCCAGGTAGGGGGTCTGCCACAGGGCCAGAGCATCAGTTTGAAGAGGAGTAACCTGTGCTGTCCTGTAAGGACAGAATTGCCTCTCCTGCAGAGCTGTCTGTCGACTTCATGGTCAACAGGGACGGGTCTGACTCTGGAGAGTCACCTACCAGGAATTATCTCCTCCCTAGATATCCAGAGAATGGGGTGTGAGCTTCTTGTAGATATTCAGACTGCAGCTGATGTGTTCTTTAGATATCAAGCCTCTCCCTGAAGTTCTGCCCAGTCCTGTGGGCATCTGTTGAAGGTGGGAGTGTGTTGCAGTGCCTGACATGGGAGGTGTACTAGGAAGGTGTGGCGTGGATAATTCCATGGCTGCAGATTTCATCAGTCTGGTACTCTTGTAAATACAGAGGAAATCCTTAACCTGAATAGTCAAAATGGCCCGACCCTGGCTTGTGCCTTGAAGGGGTACTGCTTGCTGTGTGTGGAGTTCCATGTCAAGGCAACAGCTGAAGTTGCAGCAGAGAGCACCTGGGGCAGTGGGGGGAACGTGGGTTGTGTTTGACATCTTTAGGACATGAACGATGCATTTGGAGTAGTGGTGAGGCCTGGAGCAGAGGTTATCCTTCTCAGCAAGATGTCCTATGATGCTCCCTGTCACGCCCTCTGCTTCTTCCCTCTGTTTTGTCCAGCTGGACTTGAGCTTTGCTTTGGCTTGTCTGGTGTCACTGATGTGCCATTCTTGTGCTGCACAGGCTGAGCGGATCATGGAAGCGATAGAGCTGTATAGAGAAGAGATGGCAAAACTAACAGAGCACAAGGCTATATGCAAAGCTGCAGGAAAAGAGGTAAAAAACTGAGGAATGTACAAATCCCAAGGTCTGGGGGTGTGTGTTCTTTCAGTGCTGTGGAAAGGCTCAGCATGCAGATAAAATCAGATCAGCTGGACATAGCAAAGAAGCTGGAAGGCTTCCTGACCCTAAAATGGTTCTCTTTTGCAGAACAACATGGCACCATGCCCTGGGCCATGGTTAGTGGTGTGTTCTTTCCAATGATCTTTATGTTTAAAGCCATGGTAGTGTGAAAGTTTTGTCCCTTGGAGAACATGCTGCTGCAAACTCAACCCAAAGCCTATTCTTTGCCTTCACCTCAACACTCCTTGCTAAATAAGGGGCTGTGATGTAAGTGGGAAAAGTGACAGTTAAGGAGTGGAAGAAAGTTCATACATCATATATGAGAGTGAGCTTGTCTAGTGGCTGCAAATGGAGCCCTCAGTGATGTTCTGGGGAGGGTGGAGGTGTGGGAATTGCAGGTAGACAACTTGATAAAAGGTCTCTTCTACTGTGGGTTCACGTGTTCTCTGGGAATACGTGTTTGTACACACACACCCCTCCCTCATTCTAGCCCATTCTGTGTCTCCAGGTTCCCTTTCCAGTCAATCCCATCCTCCGTGCCTATGGAAATATCACAGTAAGTGGAATGCCCAGGCCACAGCAGTGGGCCATTCTTAACTGGAGTGGGGCTGGTTGCTGGGCTAGCTGAACTGGATCTTGGGGTTGCTGTGGAGGACAAAGACTGCTTGGTACAACTTGAAATGTAAACCGAGCACTTCCGTGTCACGGTTTGACTCAGGATCAGCAATTAAGCCAGAGACAACAAAGTCTTGTGTAAAGGCTTGTGCAAAGTGAACACGGTTTGTGGGTTTGTGGTGGTGTGTTATTTCTTGTGGTGTGTGGTTTTTGTTTTTTAATATTTTGCATGTATGTTACGGAAGTTTAACCCCATCAGAGTTAAACAACACTCATGGCAGCCATGACCATATCATGTACTTTAGTGTGAAAGTTTTGTCCCTTGGAGAACATGCTGCTGCAAACTCAACCCAAAGCCTATTCTTTGCCTTCACCTCAACACTCCTTGCTAAATAAGGGGCTGTGATGTAAGTGGGAAAAGTGACAGTTAAGGAGTGGAAGAAAGTTCATACATCATATATGAGAGTGAGCTTGTCTAGTGGCTGCAAATGGAGCCCTCAGTGATGTTCTGGGGAGGGTGGAGGTGTGGGAATTGCAGGTAGACAACTTGATAAAAGGTCTCTTCTACTGTGGGTTCACGTGTTCTCTGGGAATACGTGTTTGTACACACACACCCCTCCCTCATTCTAGCCCATTCTGTGTCTCCAGGTTCCCTTTCCAGTCAATCCCATCCTCCGTGCCTATGGAAATATCACAGTAAGTGGAATGCCCAGGCCACAGCAGTGGGCCATTCTCAACTGGAGTGGGGCTGGTTGCTGGGCTAGCTGAACTGGATCTTGGGGTTGCTGTGGAGGACAAAGACTGCTTGGTACAACTTGAAATGTAAACCGAGCACTTCCGTGTCACGGTTTGACTCAGGATCAGCAATTAAGCCAGAGACAACAAAGTCTTGTGTAAAGGCTTGTGCAAAGTGAACACGGTTTGTGGGTTTGTGGTGGTGTGTTATTTCTTGTGGTGTGTGGTTTTTGTTTTTTAATATTTTGCATGTATGTTACGGAAGTTTAACCCCATCAGAGTTAAACAACACTCATGGCAGCCATGACCATATCATGTACTTTATCATTAGCCAGTGTGGTAGTCTCCAAAATATGGGAAAGCTAGTTCAAACCTTTTCTGTGCCTGAGAGCACACCTCCTGCTTCCAGGAGGGTGCAATTGCTGTGCTGTAGAGAAGATGTCCAGAGAAGCTGTGCTGTCTTACACAGAATAGCTGAGCATCCACTGGGATGTGTCATTAATAACCCATGTCACTGCCTCTTCCACCACGTGACATCAGTAAACACTTAGCCAGAGCTGTTCTCTCCCTTCCTCTGTGAATACAGGCATAGTTAACTGCAGGTTGAATAGATGGAGCAGGGGTAAATGAAGTCTTGTACCTAACAATTTCTTTAGACATGGGTGATGTTTGATTGAATCCCAGGGTAAAAAGAGGGGCTTTGAACCTGTTTAAAAGTCTTGGAAGACTGTGCTAGTTCAAGTGCCAGGGCTCTAGGTAACACAGCTGCAAGTTGAGACCTGTCCTGTTATGTGATGAACTGACCACAGTGAGCAGTCAGTATGTCAGACCCTGAACAAAGATCTTTCATGCACTGACAGGCTTACCCTCTTTCTTTGGAGACTCCACTTGTGGAACAGAGAGTCTCTACCTATGTTGCCTTGACTCAAGAAGCAGGAGCTGAAAGTACATGAAGGCTTCCTGACCCTCAAATGACTGCCTGTGCAGCTGTAACCACAGCAGGGCAGCTAGAGCAAGGCTTGTTGCTGCCCAGGTTTATGTCAGCAGTTAGTGATTCTGTTTCTGTTCCTAAAGAATTTACATCAAGAAAATTCTGTATGGTAGTTAAATGTCCAGGAGTTTCAAGCTAGAGCTGGTGACTTTACCCACTAGTGCACAACAGTTTTTACTGCACTCTGAGAATTTTTGATTATACAAAATGCACACACATGGATTTCATTGATTTAAAAAAAGTCCACTGCTCTGATTATTTTGAGTTTTCCTGGTTTATTCTGATGTATACTCCTAGCTTGCCTTTTAATTACCCTTAGGAAGATCCTTGTTTTTTTATTCTCTCCTTTGCTGGCTAGTGTATCAATACCAGATGAAGCAGACTTTTGTCTTCCTTCTAACCACCTGTAGTTACCTTACAAGAGCCCGTCTGTCCCTTCCTCCATGAGTATAGTATCTTTAATGATAACTTGAATAGGCTGAACAGAAATGAATGAAATCCTGGGACTTAGTAGTAAGGCAATTCTCTTTGGCATTTCCCAGCTCTGCCAAACACAGTCAAACACTTTCAGCAGCTAAACAGGAGGAGGAGGAATTAAGTCTTTGGGAGATGAATTTGTGTAAAGTTTTATATGTATAATTTCTCTGTTTCACCAAGCTTTTTATCCAGGTTGTACAAGATTCATTGCATGCAATATGAGATGATGTAGCTGGTTTCACAATATTCTTCACCAGCTTAGAGTATCCTGGGAAGGCTGTGTTTGTGTTTTGGGGAGGGAGAACTTCTCAGAGTGACAGCTGATTGAAGCTGAATTTCCCCTTTTGTTATACTCTGCTTGATCTGTCCATCTGGCAAGACATGACTGCATGTTTTTAACTGGGTGAAATGGATCTTGAGGCATGTGTTTTTGTCCTGGAATGTTTATTGATATGAAAAGCTGGTGTCTTTCCTCTGTTACAGCCTTCTGCATATGTGTTAGAAGTTTTCAAGAAGGTCAAGTCAAGGTGAGTCTCAAGAGCCTTATTGCTGAACAGTTTTGTGACTGGGAGCTGGATTTTTGTGGGCCCAGGAATGTCTGGGGTCCTGGAACAGTTTTTTTTGTGCTGGGTATGGGAGTTGCTGTTCCTGGAAGTCTCTTCGTGTATGCATGGTTTTGGGGAATGAAAATTGTTCCTTCCATGGGGAGTGCTGGGTGAAACCTGGGTTTGTATGTGCACATGTATATGAAGAGCAGCTTGGAGATGCTGAGGAGGGAAGTTTGTGTGCCTGCTCCCTGTGCCAGAAGATGTCTGCTGGCCTGGGCTGTAGTCTGTGCTGAGGCACTGTGCTTTGTGGACACTCAGAGACCAGCAGTGAGGGGTGTTTATCAGCTTTTGTCCCAGAACCTACCTATGTGGAAGTACTTGCTATATGCTCATCTGTAGCAGTGCAGTGGCCGAGACTAATGCTGCCATCCCTCTGCTTTCTCCTCAGTGAGCTGGAAGAGTCTCTCCTGGTGCTGCCCTTCTCCTATGTCCCTGACCTGCTCAGACTCTTCAATGAATATATTCAGCTGGGTTCAGATGTTGAACTCCTGTGTCGAGCTCTTCTCTTCTTGCTCAAGTGAGTCTTCTATCTGCCCAGACATATCTGCCAGGCTTAGTTCAGCTGCTCTTGTTGGCCAGAGCCTGGGCCCAAGGAAGGCCCAGCAGGGCTCTGGTCAGCAGTGGGGCTGCTGGTTCCTCTGGGCCCCTTGTGCTGGTGCACCTCATTAACTCACTTTGTGCCAGTTAGGTGGACAGAGAGGTGCAGCTTGCTCCTGTGCTGTGTCCATGCTTTGGGGCAGCACATTGCTGGGGAATGCATCCTGTTTCCTGGAGCTGCAAAAATGATGTAGCTTGCCTAGAAGGCATGTAGCATAAGAGTGTGGGGAAAATTTGGGCCTTCTCATATGTCTCTGGCTCTGAAGCTCTTGGGAATAAAGATGTGGTCTCTGCAGGAGATAAGGAATCATTGCAGACTGCAGCAAATGGTGTGTGGGAATGGATTGATGAGACACACACATTGCTGACATTCCTAGATGGAGTTGTTGGTCCTGGTCCTCAAACCTTAGTGGGATGAAAGAGCCTGCATCAAGGCTGAAGTGGCACTGTTGGCTGGCACAGTGTCATTGTAGATGCCATGCCCTTCGAGGGTACTCCAGAGAGACCTGCTCCTTAAACTACTGTATTTTAAAGCAAAACTTCAGGCAATAACTTGTCCAGATAAATCTGACCATGTCTCTTATATGAGACTGGTCTGGGAAAGCCTAATTTAAGAAAAATCTTATGCCCAGAACATAGAGAGGCTCAGGAGAGGGGCTTTCTGATGTTGCTAAGAACAATGCTGCAATGCATCACTGCCTGCTTTGTTCCCAGGATACACTTTGGGCAGATCACAAGCAACCACATGCTGGTGACAGTGATAGAGAATCTGAAGAAAACCACCATCTCCAGAGTCAGTGAGACACGGGTGAGTGTTGCAGCCTCCCCTTTTCTGCAATAACAGGATGGGCCAATCTCTGGGAATGCATGTTGTCTGTGGTGTCCATGGAGAAAGTTGTTTGGCAGTCTGAGCCCAACTCACCTTCCTCCTGTGCAAACAGGCTACCTTTTCCTTATGCTCTTCCTGATGTGAGACTACCCAGTGATGAGCCTGTGCTCAAACTCCCTCCCTTGCTTACCCTTGGTCTTCTTTCATGAATGTATTTGGGGTTTGTCTCGCTAGTTTCTAAACATGTAGGAGGTGAGTAACTCTCTGTTTCTCTTGGGCTTTTCTGTGGCTACTAGTCTCTCAAATAATGCAAACTGGGCAACTTCAGGTGCCTACCAGTAACTTGTCTTTCAGAAAATACAGTGAATCACAGCTGCTCTTGAGAGAGAACTGTGAAGAACAGAGTGCAGGACTGACTGTTCACCTGCTTAGATGAAGTTTACATTTAAATAATGTTGCTTTATTTAAATCTCTGGATTGTCTTGCTTTCATTATGTCTTAGTGGAGGTGGGCAGTTCAGGACCTTCTGTCCCCTAACAAGCTTGAGATGTGCCCAACAGTGTGGTGCTGGTCTGTCTCCACAGGATGTGCTGGGATTCAACATGGCAGGGCTCCAGTACCTGAAGAGGGAGATTGAGGCCAAGGATGAGGTGACATTTTTTGCTGATGCTACTGACCGTTTTGAGGAGAAGAAGAGGAAGAGGAAGAAGAAGGAGAAGGAGAAAATGATTCTTGCAATGCACTAGCATTTGCTACCCAAGACCCAGAGCACCTGGATGGGGTCATGTAACCTCAGTGCTGGCCATGGAAGCATTCTTGTGGCTGAACATCTGTGATGTCCAGTGACTGGGACAAAGTCTGTCTCCATGTGGTATAACCCAGCATATAATCCCAACTCAGAGCAGTTGTCTCTGAGGTGAACTGTCTGTAGTCTGTAATCTGCTGCATATGTATGCATTTGAACTGTTTCTGAGGTGGTGTCAAAGGGACATGCAGAATGCCTGTTAGAAATGGAGTCCATTTCTCTTGCAGAAGAGGTCAGCTCATTCTGTCAGTGTTTTAACTGAACAGAGTGAATCCAGCACATTGACTGCTCACAGGACGATGCCCCTACCCAGGGAAGGCAGCTGGCAAGATTTTACCCAATTTTGACACCTGCTGGTGGTTTGTGGCAGAGCTTAGAGCCGCTGGGCAAAGCTGTATGACTTCTTCCAGTGTGAGACCTTGATTTACAGGAACTCACTTTTAAGTAGGACAGGGAGAAACATGGCTGCGCTCTATTGAAGGCATCTTTATGTATGCTTTGTGGGACAACTTTGTGCATGGAGTTTTGCCCTGATAATTTTCTAGTAAAGCCTCAACTGCCCTGCCCTGTGTGTCAGTACTCAAAGGATTTTTTTCCTGAGAATAAAATCTGTGGGAGCAAATGAAAGGTCTGCCACCCAGGGTTTTGCTATTCCATGGAGCTGGTAGACAGAGCATGAGAAATGTGAGTGGTTTGCATTGTGTTCGCTCCAGTTTTCAGAAATTGCACTGAATTGTTGCGAAGTTGTACTTGTCCTGTGTCAGATAAAATGATTTGTTTTCACAGCAGGGCAGGACAAAGTGAGCAAGTCTCTGCTGCTCTTACTAGTTTTTAGTACATGGTTCTCTTTTACCAGTAATCACAGCTGTGGTGGATGGGGTGGGGGCTGCTTCTGGGTACTTTGCCAACTGTTGGACTTACGTGTCTGACTCAGGTGGTCAGAAAGTGTTTTACTCATCTGTGGGTAGGGCTTAAACAATGTCCACAGGTGGGTATCTGCTTCAGCACCTTCCTGAGCTGGCTTTCAGCCTTGGTTCATGGGTCAAATCTAACTCAAAAGAGCTGATGGACAAATAGTCATGTCTGGCGGGTGAGTGGAAAACACCAGTGCAGCACTCGGATGGCTACTGAGGGAGCTCAGTGTGTGCATTAAAAGGAAGAGGTCTGTCCTGTCCCAGCAATTCACTGACGAGAATTCCTGTATCCTTGCATACTTCAGCTTGCCCTTTCCTTAGGTGAAATTCCCCAGATTTACAAACCTGAGCAGGAAAGCACGTGCAAATACAGTGCCAACTTAAAATGTGTATTGTTAGAATATTAGTCCCGCTTAATAGTGTGGATGGGAGAGTTCATATTTCACACTGGAATTCTCAGGCACTCTCAAGTGTTGAGAGAACAAGTCATCTGCATGTATCAGGAAAATTCCCCATCTCTCAGCATGTCACATGCTGGAAAAAGCCTGAAGCACAGGAAAGCACCTCACTGGAAATGAACTGATAAAAACAAAACAGAACTGCCCTTGGATACATAAACATTATGTCTCACAGGTTCTTTTAGTCACTACTGTGTAAGTAGGAACAAAGTGTGTGTTGGGAAGGCCATCTCTGAGTGGCTCAGTTGTCCACTATGATGAGATGTCCTCTGCACAAGAGGATATAAGCAGAATCCCTCTGATCCCTCTCCCTCCAGTGTAACTTTGTGTACTCATAATCCCTACCTGGTGTCTGCAGCTCATGAAATGTAGGTGAACACACAGGAAGTAAGGCCTATGTGAAAGCAAACAGAAACTTGGAAGAATAGAGCAGATAAGCAGCTTTTTCTTGAAGAATCACAGTGGGTTTCAGTGAAATCTGCTGCATGCTCAGTACTTAAAATATTTTAGGTGCCACAGCACAGGTTCTAGAAACCTAACCCCTTTAAAAACCAAAACCTATTGGGAACCATTCAGCAAAGTATCAAACACTGGGGTTGGAATACAATTATCTTTCCACTGCTTGCATTCCAGACAGCCACGTCAGAAGGCTGTGCAACTTTTGGACCACTTTTCCCATTAATAGGGGACAGACAAAAATATTCACATTAATCTTATTTAATAAATGACAAAGCCTACATTGGGATGTTTCCATAATATTGGACTGAAATTTGGGTATTTCAGGATTGCTGATCTTCATGTTATTCTTTTAGGACACTGACCTGTAGTGAAAGAGGAGAGAAAACATGAAAGAAAAAAGCCAACAAACTAAACCCCAGCTCTACTTTTGTACAGTTGTTGAAGCAAACCCAGTAATTACATCCAGATTTTTTTGCAAGTGTTGTGTGAGCACTGTGATTGCTAGGGACTGGCTTCAGTAGAAATGGACTCTACTCAGGCTGTTGGAAGGGAACAACATGAGAAAGGGTTCTTGTGTGGGCTCCAACTAGATTAAGAGTTTGCTTTTATTTTACAAATGGAGAGGCATAAAAATCCTGACCACAAGTTCAGGATGGGCAGTCTACTTAGGAATACTGAAGGCTTACATGGGCAGCTTCCTGTGCAGTATATTGAGTACATTAAGATAATATTTGTGAAATGTTTTAAATACAAATAAGAAATAACTAGAAAAAAATATAAACAAGATATGACTAAGTTTGCTGAGGAGATGCTTGATCTGATTTTTTTTTGCTTTTGCTAGGAAATGGGTTAAATTTGTGATCAGTTCTAACAAGGCAGGAAAGTTTCTACGTTTCAATAGAGGAAATAATTGGCTGTGGTGATAAGCACCTGGAAGGGTGATGGGAACTTAAAAAGTTGTCACAGTGCCTCTGCAAAGACTTGGCTATTTCTTTTCTGAATGGTTGAATGAGACTTTTTAACCAAGCACAGGACTTAACCTAGGAGTGTCAGCATTTCATGTTTTGTGACCCTGAAACCACCAGTCCAGAGTTCCTTGACATGTTTGAGATGTAGATGGTTTTGAGTCCAGAAGCTTTTGTGAGGAGGAACGTTGGAAGAGGCATTTGGCAGAGCTGCTTGGGTAGCTTGGGGTAGCTGGAGCCACCTTCAGAAGGAATTATCAATCAATTCAAAAGACTTGGAACAGAAAAAGAGATTTGGCGTTAGTGACAGTGACTGATTTGCTGGATTAGTCCAGTGGGAGTTAACTATGTAGTTAATTTCTCTCCACTTGGAGCTTTTAATGGGAGATGACACTCATCAGAATTCCTGTTGGGACTGGGGGTGTCTCACTGAACTGTGAAGTGAGTGGGCGATTACTCCTCCATTTCAACACTAAGTTTGGCTAAATTGCCTTCACTGATGAGCTCCAGGTTGCAAGCTCCTAAGCTGGAAGGCATTACATTCGCTGTTCTTCTAGACTATGATTGCATGGTACTCTGGGGGGTAAAATTCCACACTGGAAAAGGTAAGAAGATATTTAAACAGGAAACAAAAAACTATGTTTAATGAACTCTGGGCAGTCCTAGAGCAGATGCAGCAGTCAGAGATGTGTGTCTCTCTGCTGTTTCTTTTGAGAACTGACTGATGTAGTCACTTCTCTTTTTCTCCAGAGGAAAGGAAATGAGATACAGGTGGGATTTTTTTACTGGCTTGTTAGATAACGTGGCAGATTTACAGATGTTAAAGTTGAAAGAAAAAGAATGATGTCCATGTTACACATATGAGGAAAATGGGGACTCTTGAGCTGAGAAGAAACATCCATAGGGTTCCTGTTTATTAACTGTCACTATCAGTTGTATGGAGAGCACCTGAGTTCATGTGGGTGAAACAGCCTCATGTTAAATGTGTTGGCTGGTGCTTTGAGGAGGAATTCCCAGTAAGGCTTTCTTGTTGGCAGGGAAGACTCCATATAGTTTGATTCTGTGAGGTTACAGAAATGTGCTGTATGAAATGATGTCTGCAGAGGGTTGTGTGTGCTTGGACCTGTCATGTTCAGGTTGCCCTGTCTTTCTGTAAGACTTCTGTCTCTTATTAGATTTGCTGTCAGTGTCAAAGGGTCAG